ATTTTGGCTTTATGCATGCTAAATCTTTTCAAGATCCTTTCACTGTATTTTTCTTGACTTAGCCATAAGAGCTTTCTAGGTCGGTGTCTTGTGATCTTTATTCCAAGAATCTGCTTTGCAGGGCCGAGGTCCTTCATTGCGAAGGACGAACTGAATGCCTTCTTCAAGGCGGCTATCCTCGATTTTTCTTACCCTACAATAAGCATGTTGTCAACATATAAAAGTAAAATTAGAAAGTCATCGGCTTTATACCTCTTATCAAATACGCAGTGGTCGGCTTCCATCTTCATGAACTTCTGCTTGGTCACAAAGGATTCAAATTTTTTGTACCACTACCAAGGTGCTTGTTTTAAGTCGTATAGGCTCTTCTTCAAACGACAGACCAAGTCTTCTTTTCCTGGAGCTGGGAACCCTTCAGGTTGCTCCATATAAATTTCTTCTTGATGGTTGACGTGAAGGAATGTCGTCTTCACATCCATTTGTTCAACTTTAAGGTGCATTGACGCTGCCATGGCTAACACGGTTCAGACTAAAGTCATTTTCACAACAGGAGAGAATATTTCTTCAAAATCTACTCATTTCTTTTGGTTGCAACCTTTGACCATAATTCAGGCCTTGTATCTCGACTTGTGGCCATTCTCCTCATGTTTAATTTTATAAACTCATTTATTCTTCAGAGATCTTCTTCCTTGAGGTAGCTCTGTCAATTTATACGTTTGATTTTCGTGCAAGGACTTCATCTCGTCCTGCATTGCCTTCTCCCACCCATTCTTCTATGAGCTCGTTATGGCCTCATTATAGCTATATGGTTCTCCATCTTTAGCAACAACAATGTATTCACCTGGTGGGTACCTTGTAGAATGTTGTCTCACTCGTACAGAGTGTCTAGTTTGTACTTCAGGTTGAGAGTCTGACTCAGCATGCTCATCTCAGACCTCAGTATCTCGGACCTCAGCAATTCGATCCTCATCATCTTGGTCTTGTTGGTCATTCACTTTATTTTCTTAATTTTCTCCCCTTCTCTATATCTGGCAATCTCATCATCAGGATTTTAGTACTCAAGGGATTGATGCTAGAGTTCTGATGTAATCTTAAGACCTTAGTGTTTAATGTATGTATTAAGAAAGGAATCACCAAGGGATTGGGGTTTCTGATTAATGTATCTATCAGGGTAGTAAGGGATTACATCTTGATGATAAGTAAAAGGTTGATTAACATCACATAAAAAAGAATTCATCATATGATCAATGTTACATGAGTTTATTGTTGAGGAAAATTGTTTTCTGACTACTTGTTTTATTAAATCTTAATTCATATTTTAGCATTATATTCTGTTACTTCAAATCAATTTTCTGGTGACAAAACACTCATGATTTTTACAAACTCTTGTTTGATTCAAATTAGTTTTCTATGGTTAATTGGTGTTTGAATACAAATCTTTGTGGGAACGATCTTTACTCATCATTTTATTACTTGTACGACTAGTACACTTGCTAGATCCGCAACAAATTTTTACAGAAGGGGCGGTTTCTTCTCTTCCGAAAGCAACCCAGACTTTGGGCTTTGAGATATCATTGATTGTCTCGTTCTCATGAAAGACTAAATATTGGCTTCTCAATATTTTCTTGTTGATTGGTCTCCAAAGTATGAATCCAAATTCACATCTCGGCGAACCGAGGTAAATACATCTTTAGTCTTCGCATCGAGCTTTACCCTTTCGTTTTTATGGATATGCACGAAAGCTCGACATGCAAATACTTTCAACTGATCATAGGTCACTTTTCTACCTGTCCAAACTTCTTCTAGAATTTCTCCTTCAAGTGGTCGTGACGGTGAGAAGGATTAAGTCAATAGCAGTTCTAACAGCTTCTTCCTATAATGAGTTCGACAACCCGACATAGGATAACATATTTTGGACCCTTTCTTCTATAGTCTTGTTCATCCTTTTAGCAACTTCATTTAGCTGAGTTATCTTAGGGGGCGTCTTCTCAAGTCTTATCCCGGTCGCTCTACAATAAGCATCGAACGGGCCGTAGTACTCACCACCATTGTCAGATCGAATCACTTTAAGCTTTTTGTCAGTCTCCCTTTGAACCATTGCATGAAATTATCTAAAGACTTGGAGTACCTGATCTTTGGATTTCAACAAATATACCCACAAATTACAAGAATAGTAATCAATAAAAGAAACAAAATATTGAGCTCCACCAAGGGATCTCTCCAACATGGAGAATACATCGGTATGGACGAAGTCAAGAATATACATGTGTCGTCTGGGCTGATCCGGTCTCACGAAAGAAATCTGGTACTGCTTTCTAGCTAGGCAATGCATGCAGCTCTCCAGCACTTAGCCTCTCATCCCAGTCAATAATCTTTTATTGTTCAAGATCTGATGTCCTTTCTCGCTCATGTAGCAGAGACGCTTGTGCCACAACTCCATGCTAGGTCCATTTTGAATAGAGTTAGCTTCACCACCATTTATCTTTCCTTGCATCACATATAATAAGATGGCAACCTATATTTTTTTTTCACATTGAATTTTATTAGTGAATGAGTTTATAATGATACAAAATTATGAAAAAAGTCATACAATTCATATAATATTTATTTTCTGAATTTATTATCAAAATTATTGGAAAAATAATAAGTGATGCTGAATTTTATTCGTTTATATTTTTTATTTGGTTGTTTCTAAAATTTTATTTTGAATTATTGATGCCTGTTAGTACTCATTGGTACGGGTCTTTTTGAGAGAATTGGAAATGAGTACTTGTAACAAGATGGGGGCCGAACCATTATTGGGCCTAACAGTTTAAGAAAACTATCTTTATAGGTTCAATCTTTGAAAACTTGATGAACGCATCCAATATTATTGAAGGGCAATGCATCTTGAGGCCACCATATTACGATGGCACAAATTACATTGATTGGAAGGAGCGTATGAGGATATTTACACAATCCGTGGACTTCAAACTTTGGCTTGTGATCAAGAATGGACCAAAAATTCCAAAGAAGATAATAGAGGGTAAAGAATTGGAGAAATCTGAAGATGAACTTGATGACGAAGACATGAAAAATATGGAACAAGACGCAAAAGCAAAACATATCTTATACTGTGCCATAAACTCAGATGCTTTTAAAAAAATTTCAGTGTGCAAAACAGCCAAGCAAGTGTGGGACGAGCTTGACAAGTTAAGTGATTCTTTGAATCCAAAATTTGAAATTGATGATTGACATTCTAGTGCATGCACTGTTTATAGTTTTCTAAACTTCATTAAATAATTGAAAATTTGACATACCATGAAATAATTTATTCTTGGGATAAATATGGATTAATAAAAATAAAAAGGAAATCGGTTCTTCATGTGTTGCACTAAATTTGTACAACATTCGTAAATTTCTTCGCTTTGATAGGGAAATGGAAATATTAGTTGTCGACTCAACAACTGCAGAACCACAGCGCGGATTGGCCATTCCATCAGCTCAATATAATTTTCCTGATCTTGGTTTTCTAGCGGAAACAAGTACGCTACTCTCTTTCTCTTTCTCTTTCTCTTTCTCAATCTCGTACTTATTTTGTAAAAGAAAATTAGTTTTATAAACTTACGTAATTAAATATATTTTTCTTAAAAATATTAAGTTCATCATATCCAATAATTAATTACATAAATTTTTGTAATAGTCATTAATCATAATAAATTACAATTGATCTAAGTAATGTTATGGTTATGTCCTGTGCGCACGAGTTAAAATTACAGCCTAAGATTCACGTGACCAATTTTAAATAAAAAGTTAAAATTCAACTTGTTCAATGTAAACACCGAAATCTAGACTTAGGGTGATAACATGTAGGTATCAGTAGGGTGAATCCGCTAAGGCTGGCCCAATGGGTTTAGGCTATGAATATGAAGTGTCCTCCACAGGAGCACTGTTCCAATATTTATACAAATTATACTTGAGATAGGGAACCGTTATCGTTAAGGTGGTGGTGTCTCCTAATGGTTTCTCCATGGATGATCATGGGTAACAGAAAGTGGGGTGAGGATCGAGGGTATAGACCCACTTGTCAGGCTAATGGGCTCAAGCCCAAGATAGAGTACCTTGGGTGCAGGCTTGGGGTCCGTGTCCATGGATTGAAGCCCAATTAAGAAAACTAGCTTTCATGAGGAAGTGCATTGGGCCTAGGCCCAATCCCGAGATCCGAGATAATTCCCGGAACACAACTCAAAACTTGTGATAATTTTTTCGATTAATTGCTGACTAATTTAATAAAATATTTCTTATTTCTTTGGTAAGGAATAAATTATATGTTTATATTTTCTTTTTGAAATTCTCAAGTCAAATTCATAAAAACAAATGAGTAGGGCGCCAATGTCTCAACCAAAATTCTTCATTTCTTATTTCATTCATATCAAATACAAGACTTTATTAGTCACAATTAAATTCCTAACCAAACTTTAATAATTAGGGAATTAAGCAAATGTTGAAGGATATTTCGTTCTTGTTACTTTTCTATGCTAGCTAGAATTTGAGTAGAGTGTTCAACGTTGAGTGAATTTGAAAGGCCGGTGGGTCTTAATCTTAGTTTTTGTTTCAGGGGAGGCAATGGACAATTTTCTCAACTTATGTGTGCCCCTTTACAAGTTTACTCTGGAAGGAAATTGGCCAGCAGCTAAACGCATCTTAGATCGAGATAGTAGACTCAGGCACGCTGCCATAGCAAGTGGGTTGCCTACGGTGCTTCATGTTGCATCAGGTGCAAACCATGTTCACTTTGTGGAGGCATTGCTGGAAATACTAGAAGAGGATCACATAGCATTGCAAGATTTCAAGGGCAACACTGCATTCTGCTTTGCTGCTGCTGCTGGGAACATGGAAATTGTTCGCTTATTGCTTCAGAAAAATCCACTCTTGCCAATAATCAGGGGTGGAGATGGAGTTACTCCTATTCAATTTGCTGCATTGCAAGGAAAATTTGAAATGGCATGGTATTTATACCACAAGACAAACAAACATGTCTTCCAAGATATGGACTGGGACTTATTGTTCTTCACTTGTATCAACACCGGCAACTATCGTAAGTATAACTAAATAGTCGAAAATGAATAATATAGTATAATATGAAAAAATTATCAATATGATATAGTTTGAAAACTATTATCAAAGTGTTTATAGTTGGATTTTTTTTAATCAGGTGAGTTTACGGACATGACACGTGTGACTTTTGTGGGATTCACACGATTAAAAGTGATTAAACTATGGGTTCGCTTTTTGTTATGTCACGTAACAAGACTATTTTCCTGCACACACAAATCAAGTGTGAGTCTCACGGTTAAAAAAAATATCAAACCAAAATCAGGATACGACGCCGTATCCTCAAGATACGTGGTCGGATCCTTGTTGTAGGAATGAACAGTGTCATTCTTGCAACATGATTCTTATATTTCCCTTAAACTATACCACTTTTATTAAAAAAATATATTATTTTGTTAAATGTGTCACTGGATAGAGAAATATTATTTTTATTTTTTTAATAAAAAGGTACACAATTATTGTTTTGTAGATTTAGCCTTAAAAATGGTGAGAGAGAGGAGCAAGCTAGCTTTTGCACGTGATGAGAACGGAGAGACAGCTTTACATCTCTTGGCTCAAAATCATAAGCCTTTGGATTCTTGCTGTCAAAGTTCAGAACATCAAGATCCCATCATGATCAACCCTGGTAATTCCTTACACATTCTCTGTTTACTAGGAAAACTAAGACACGGGGCTTGAATATTTTTACTTACGTATGTACCATACAGATTCCCCTGTTTTTTTACATGTGTTTATTGCAAGTAACTGGATTTTGTATTGCAGGCATGAAACAAGATGTTGTTCTTCAATTGGTTAAGTTTCTGTGGACCACGATCCTCTGCAAAGAAAACTCAAAGTCGGAGATATTAAGCCTCATACGTGAACCTTGTCAACTATTATTTGATGCTGCAGAAGTTGGTAATTTTGGGTTCTTGTCAGAGCTTATCAGTGCTTATCCTAGCTTGATATGGGAAGTGGACAAAAGAAACCATAGTATAATTCACACAGCTGTTTTGAATCGTCATGCTAGCATCTTCAATCTCATACATGAAATAGGGTCCTCAAAGGATATTATAGTGACATATAAAGGAAAACATGACAATACTTTGTTGCATTTGGCTGCAAAATTAGCACCACCAGGTCGACTTCAATTAGTTTCTGGAGCAGCTTTCCAAATGTGCCTCGAGATAGTATGGTTTGAGGTATATATATCCCCCTTTTTATGGCTTTGCATTTTCACATGGTATTATTCACACAACTATAGTTGTAATTATTGAGAATAAAGAGAATAAACTCAAATTTAATGTATCAGAGTAGATACCTATCAAATTTTAAACCACTTTTTAAATTGTTATCAGAGATCGAATCACTCCCCATTAAGTCATAGTTAACAAGGTAGTTGTGAGGATAATCCTTGTAAGTTGAACATGCTTTCGGTCATAAAGGAGAAGTTTTATTACTGTTCCAAACTTGCCCTCTTAAATTGTTGTTAGAAATATTAATATTAATATAAATTATTAATGCAAACTTGCCCTCTTAAAGAGGACGTGAACCAGAGCAGTGGTAAAACTGTTCTTTTATGACTGAAAGGTCATGGGTTCGAATCCAGGAAACATGATTTTACTTTTTTTACTTTTACTAATGCAAACATCATTTACAAGCTGAAGTTATTCGGCTAAACTGGTTACTGTTACATGGTAAGAGTTTGTAATCAAGTACTCACAAGTTCGATCCTAATTATTGATATTAATATAAAACTATGGCCATCACTTACCAGCATATGAACCATTTCATATGAAACATGCCAACATCATTTATTGGGTTAAATTGGTTGCATTACTTGGTAAGAATGACCTCATTGCTGATATTGATATAAAATTGTGGACATCACATACCAGCATATGAAACATTTCATGTACATAAGAACCATTTCATGTCACAGGAGGTGAAGAAGATAATGCCACCATCTTTGATAAAGATGAAAAATTGTGAAAGGTTAACTGCACGTGAATTATTCACAAGGGAGCATGAAGAGTTGCGGAGAAATGCAGAGTCTTGGATGAAAAGCACTGCTGAGTCTTGTATGCTTATTTCAACAGTCATTGCTACAGGAGTGTTCTCTGCTGCAATTACCCTGCCAGGTGGAACCAAAGATGACACCGGAAAAGCAAACTTTTTAGGGAAACAATCGTTCCTGGTATTTACAATATCAGATGGAATTGCACTTGTCTCATCTACAACTGCAATATTTATATTCTTGTCTATTCTCATCTCACGTTATGCAGAGTATGACTTTTACAAGTCACTGCCCTTGAAGCTAATATGTGGACTCATAACGCTTTTCATCTCCATAACAAGTATGATGATAGCATTTGGCAGTGCATTCTTCATGACCTACAACTATGGTTTGAAGTGGGTTCCTAGATTTATTTCAGTGCTTGCGTGTCTACCTATACTTCTATTTATAGTTCTGCAATTTTCCCTATGGTCAGATATCATCTACTCAACCTACTATTGTAAGACTCTGTTCAAGCCAGGTAAAAGAATGATTTATGTACTTGAGCAATAGAGGCATTGTAATAAGGAGAATATCAGTGTCATGTTACATAGGAGTAGGAGTAGTTCTCTCATGTTATATCTCATGTTATAGAAAGAATCTAAATGGAGCCCACCATTAAAAAGCAAGAAAAGAAAAGAAAAGAAAATGAAATAACTACCTTGTGTAAAATAAGAGTAATATTTTCCTTGTAATAAAGAGTCATATTTAGTTTTGTTAAAGCTGTAATATATTATTGGGTTTATTAATGTCATGTTACATAACATAAGTTTAATTTCCAACACACACAATAATAGAAAGAGAAAGTGAAATGACGAATGAGAAAGAAAAACATGTGGACCCCACCTCTTTAATGTGTGTGTAAGAAAGTGAAGTTATGTAAAATAATAAACATAAAGGGCCTGTTTGGTGTGATGTATAAGGCCTGATAGTATAAGCTGATACTATACGTCATGACATTTTCAGTTGTTTGGTATGATCATCGTATAGTATAAGCTATACAGCAGGATACCTTTATACATCAAAATGATGTATAACTTAATCAGGCATAGGAGTGGTGGATTAGGTCTGATAAGGGCTTGATGTATTAATATTGCTTACAAGTACAATTCCCAAGAACTAATATATTATTTCAATATTTATATATTAAAATAATTTTTTTAATATATTAATTTTTAAAATATTAAAGGATATTATCTTATACAATACCATAACAAACGCTGGATATTATTAAAATTTAATCAGGTCTTATACTATCAGACCTTATACTATCATGCCTTATCATATACTACGCACCAAACGCGCCCAAAAACCCTATATTATTTCATCTTAAAAAAAGTAGTGACTTGTGATCATTATCTGTGAAAGATGGTTGTGAATAAGATAATTGAAATGAGAGACAACGTGTTGTTTGGACAGGTTCATAAAATAGAAACAATGATATAGTGCTTATTATGAGGTATTTAGTTTACTTTGATTTAGCTTTGACGTAATCAAATTTATTGGTTCTTTTATGGAGAAAATATTTATTCCGTTACCGCAGAAGTATTTTCCCCTGTGATAGTTGACTCAAAAAAAAAAAATTAAAAGAAAAAAAGGATGATGAGCCCCGTTTTTTTTTTCTCTATGCTGCATATCCCCAACTTCTACGGTAACAACAAAAGTTGCAAACCCTTCTTTTATCATAAAAATATTTATGCAGTTAATGCAGATAAGTTATCTGCATTTACTTCCAAAACGACATTATTTTGAGATTGAAAGATTATAAAATTATAATTATAAAGATTATAATAACCCTGAAATAAATTAAAATTACAAAAATATGATTTTCGTCTCAAAACGACGTCGTATTAGACTTACTGCAAATAACTTATCTGCAGTAACTGCAGAAAAAGCGAACCTTTTTTATATAGTAAATTGATAGGTTTGCTTCTAAGTGGATAACCATACTACATTAAATCTTAATTGGTTTGCAATAAAAGCATGATTAAGATTTAAATAAAATAACTTACAAAGTTTCATAAAAATAATAAGTTGAAATGTAATCATATGCAAGTATGTAAGCTCTAGCAAATATATAATTATTTATACTAATTAAAGGAAACGAATTGAAATGAATAAACAAATTAATATAAGCTGTAGCATCTATCAGAAACTGATGAATTATACAAAACATGCATTCTTTCCCCCTCTAGAAAATATCAGCTTCCAATCATGGTCCCAGAAGTTCCACATAAAACTGCCACACAATGAATTAGAATGAGAAGAATCAAGCAGGTTTTTTAAATTCATTACAAAAGGATGTCATAATAATTAATTGCAAATGGCCGGAAACAAATTCATTACCTGGTAATGGCGTGGAATTCGAGGGAGTTTCCAAGTAATTGATGATGATTTAGACGTACATTTCTATTTCATGTCTTTCCTATATATTTTCCGATGATTTTCGGTTTACTAATTGATGAAAATACAGCTTATGAGATGAAAGATATTGCTTAAGCAACAAGTATTAATTGTTACGGTCATAAATCAGCTAATTCTGATATGAATGAGAGAAAGTCAATGGTTTCAAATTTGCAGCTGCGTGGTTATGTTATGCTCCTTCATTTTCCCAGAACGTAACGGGAATATTACCATCCCCGCTTTGCACACGCCATCATTCAGCATGTGTGCGAAGCGCAAAACGTCGTCGTTCTTCTAAACAAGCAACTTGTTAGCCCTTCATAGACACTTTTATTCTCTTGTACAGAGTTAATTATTTATTAGGTTGTGCATGAATTTAATTAAATGTAGAACAAATATTTATTGATAATATATTTATTTATTTTCAACTTTGAAAGATAAAGTTTATATTTGTAAAAGCTAGCTCGTTTCTTAACTCTGGGTTAGTGTAAAGAACCACTTCAATCTAAAATCTTAAAGTCTTGAGTGAGGAATTTTTAATGATTTATATTATTTTCTGACACGCCCCCTCACGCAATATTGAAGCGTGGATTGTTGCATAGGCCTAATTTTTTGTTTACTTTATGCTTATTTAATTCCACAAATGAGGGGCGGTAAGGATTGAACTCATGACTTTGTGGTCACTGAAGCTCTGATACCATGTAAAGAACCACTTCAACCCAAAACCTTAAAGTGTTGAGTGAGAAACTTTTTAATAGTTTATATTATATTATTCTTACCATCTCGCGCTAATGAGTGAAGCAAAAAATTCAATATCAGTTGGGTAGTTTTCTAAGCATGGAAAATATCCTTGTCAATTTTCAACAAAAAAAAAAAGATAAAAAAAATATCCTTGTCATGTTGCATACAAAGACAATGCAAGCTTTTCTATGATCCTAAATTAAATGACAAAACCTCAGCTCAGCCGTTGGAAAGCCAAGAAAAAGCTTTTCGACAATCTCATACCATGATCATGAGTTGAAACATATTAATGTTTCTCGTATTATAGAAGATAATTTTATTTCTTACATATATATAAAATATATAAGATCTGTATGAGGCCATTTGAGGAGAAGAGAGAAAAAATGTCTCGTATACTTTTATGTATATATAAAAAATAAAATATATCTCCTATAACATTAAAAATATAATCCGCATACCACTAGGATTCAAACCTAGATATATGTCATATAAAAAAAATAGAGTAAACACCTTTTTTAGTTCCTGGTAATATCTACGAAGTCCTTTTCAGTCCCTGGCAATAAAAAAGGACCAAATTGGTCCCTGAAAGTACAAGAAAAGGGTCACTCTACATATTTGGGAGTTGACATAAGGACTAACATGGCCCTTTTTTTGTAATTTCAGGGATCAATTTGGTTCTTTTTTATTGTCAGGGACTAAAAAGGATTTCGTAGATATTGACAGGGACTAAAAAGGGTGTTTACTCAAAAAAATATTAATCCCTAAACAAATAAGAGATAATAAATTTTAGTATAAATAAAATATTAAACAAAAAGCAAATAAAAATGAGTACGACATCTGATATGTGGTGACCCACAAGCTATTAATTATATTAATTATTTTTGAAAATAAAAAAGTTTAGGTGAAAAAAAACACCGGTACCCCACCTGGGTAGGGCTGCGAGATTCAAACCGCCATCCTTTTAAGACAGCAGCGAATCCATAACTAACTGTGCGAAACCTCTTTGAACAAAAAAAAGTTGTAAGTTGAACGAAAAAGTACAACTTGAGTATTTTGTATTTTACTTTCAATGAATACTACATTAGTACTATCCACTATCGTTTTCAATTTTCTTATTGGTAGTTTAATTAGCTGTTTAAATTTTAGTCGGTGACTATGTATATTACAAAGTTTGGCTTTAGCAGATATTTTTACTTTTTATTTTAATGACAGCGCATGGAAATAATACTTATATTTTACATAAATTCATAATTTACATGCGTTCCCTTGTTTTATGTTGTTGATTTGTTTTAAAATAGGAAAATGGTAGAAGTGCAACACACAGTACAATTTTTAAAGGAGATAAAGTTATGTCATTTTAGGTGAAAGAAAGATACATATAAAGAAGGAGAGAATCTCTTCCTTGACACAAACAAAATGGGTGCCAAGACAACCTGTGACGTGGCGGTCGTGGTCGTATCCAATGTGTCTTGTAGAGCACGCTGTCAAGTCATTTATTTACACAAACCTTTGACAATCTGAAAATAAAACATTAATTAACAAGAAGCTGCGAAGGGATAGAAATAGACAATCTTCAGATTGGGATGCTCTGCCTCGTCGGCAATGTAACCGCGGAAATATGCTTGTGTCCGAAGTTTGCTCTGTTCAAATTCACATTAATTACTTGGTAAGTTCTTCAACAATGCACATGATCTGTGTCATCTTCGTAGCTATAAATAGTACCTAAGGCCAGACAACTTTCACCAAAATTCAAGACACAATACCAAGCAACATTGCCTGTAACAACATTTCAACACCAACACAATCAATCATGAGTACTAAAGGTACAATTAGCATCCAAAAGGTTCTGACCCCCACGACAAGGCCACCTCCTGGAGGCAGTAGCTCCAAATCTTCATCCTCTGGCACTCGGTTGCCAACTATTCAGAAGGTGTTTTCAAGGAAGGGTTGATTTTAAGAATCGACCGTCTTATGTGTGACATATGTCATGTAACACGATTTCAGCTCCTCTAGACAAATTAACGGTTATGGATAATTCTGTATTCTAACATATTATCCATAACCATTGATTTACCTATAAATGATTGAAATTGTTTCACATGACCTTACGTCATGTTGAAAGGAGAAATAGTGGGAAGAATTAAGAAGAACAAGAGCATGTTTGAGGAAGATATTATACTTATTTTGTATTTTTAAAAAGTTGTTTGTTTATGTATTTATTTATTCATTTATTTATAAGATTTGTAAGAAAGTAAAATTTGTTATGAAATATTTATGTGGATGACTTTTCATATGCATTATCATGTGACTGGCTTTTTGATTTCTCAGGAGCAATGGCGGACGCAGCTTTGTGCATGTGTCTGTACTTG